GGTAGGAACGTCAGCCGGCCTCAAGGATGATGGCTCATCTCGAAGAACGATACGCGCAACTTCCACAGGTGGCCTACCAACTCCAACCTCGGCATCGTGGAAATGTACGCCTTCCATGGCCCCCCCTGATGGCGGGACTTCAAACGGCAGATCTGCATCATCTTCAAGCATGATGGTGGACGGCTCGCGATCACCCCTTATAGAATCTATGGCTTGGATTATCCCAACCTCCTTTTATGAGAGATCAAACCCTCCTCGCTCAGTGATGACTTTTCATCTATTAAATGAAGCAAGGAAGAGGCCGGAGTTTCTATTGTTGATGCGATCGATTGATTGAGCCGACCTAGCCACAACAGGAGATAGAATGGAAGTGGACAGCCGGGCAGGCCAGGCCACAGTCACAGTAGGAGCGGACTCCGTTGTAGTATTCCTCATGCGAAATGTAGAAGGAGGGCCCCCTGGCCTTCTCGAGGAACCCCAGGATAAAAAAAAGAGAAGGTTAAAAGGTCGGTCCCCACAAATTAATAAAAAGCAAGCGACCAGAAGGCAATAAAAATATAGATTTAAATGGGTAAACTCACCGGCCACAGAAGGCGCAAGTCCGAACTTCTTGAGGAAGGCCGGCCATTTGCGAATCCCCATTGTGTGAGGGAGGACCCAAACCCAATCATAAATGTCTCAGCCAAAGGAGATGGTGCGGTCTCGGCTACACGAAGAGAACAAAATGTCAGTACGACTACAATTAGCAGAACCAACACTTAATATAAAAAAAAGAAAGAGAAAAGGGGAGAGAGATGCTTACGGACATAGTTCAAAACCTCGGGGAACCCGCTTGCACTGACCACCACGTCCTCAGTTTTGACCTAGACATAATTGAGCAAAAATTGGCGATTTCCTTGTTGTCCATCTTCACCACTAAACATTTGCTTTCCCGGTGGCGAAGATGTAGCATCGTCCCCCTATAAAAGCTAGAGGCGAAGAGATGCATTAAGTGGCGAAGTGACACCCCGACCCCGGCTAATTCTGCGTACTTCGTAAGCATGTGGATAAGTTTCTAGATATATGTAGAAAGTTGGGCCGGGCATACGCCGTAATAGCAGCAGAATTCCTCACCCAATGGGAGAATAGGAAAGGAGTAGCCGACGTGGAAGGGGTACGCGTAGAAAGCGCAATCTCAGGGCGGTGTACTTGCACCACGTCACGCTCAGCTGGAATTAGGTCGATATCAGCAAGAATTTTGAATTTTTTCCTAAACTCGGAAATGGCGGCCTTTTTCATCAACGACTCCGAGATATCAAGGTTGTCTTCAGGCACCTTCGAAAAATAGGATTTGTCTTTTTCACTACGAGGGATTATCTCCTCCACCGTAGGAAGGTTCCCGTCTTCAACAGCAATTGAAACACTATCATCATGGGGAGGCATGCGCACTGCCAAGGGAACAGGGTCAGGTACCCCTCCAAAACTAGAAGACACATTAACCATCTTTGTTTACGTATAGAGGAAATGTAAGCATAGAAGAGTCATATGGCAGAAGTCACCAGAATCATTGAAAGCAAAAATACGGATGTAAGGTCAGGAGAGCAAGAACTATAAATGAAGAAGGAAGAAGAAGATACATGGGTTCAAATATCTAGATTGCAAAGAATAAGGCAAAGGGTTTCATATCCCTATTTATAAGAATTCAGGCATCAATATCGAGAAAGCAAATTGTCATTACCCAACTCAGGTATTAGAGGCATAGAAAACGACGCAAGACATCGGAAAAATGCGTAATAATACGCATGATGTCATAACATTACTCTGAATCGACGTGACCTTAAGTTGTGGCTCATGAAAGGCCATGTTGCTACCTCGCTTGAGACGCTACTACTCGACCTGCTCGCCTAAACTTCTCAACCACAACTAACAGAGTCTGCTCATCGAGGTCGTCCAAGGTCAGCCTCAATAAGCGGAGGGACCAACTGTATAGGTCAAAACCTACCCTAAAGGAATAAAGTGGCATTAAGGAAAATGATGTGGCCGAGGTCGACTAGTAAACAGTGGGACTCATAGCCGGGCAGTTAATAATGGTCGAGGTCGAGCACCAAGTACAAAGCACTAACAACTAATTTTTGTAATAAGATATTAAAAAGAATATTCCATTGAATATTCTTTGCACTTGTACTATTAGGGTTGATTAGGGATATTGTCTCATATAAATAGAAAAGGAGATAAGAGGAGAAGGTATGTAATATTCATTTGATAAGAACACTTTTTGAGAAGAAGACCCTCTCTCTAGAAAAGATACAAACTCTACCTTTTTACTAAGATTCCATCATCTGTTATTTCATACTTTTCTATCAGATCCGAGAATAGTTCCAATATTCTAGGATTTTTCTGTCATTCATCACTGTGAGAAAGAAGAATCATCCACATCATTCAATATTGGGTGAAACATTCTCCATATTTACATAAATATAATTTATTGATATTTATTGCTTGATGTTCATCTATTATTTCTCAAATCCTTCGGAATATTAAATGCGCAATGTTTTTAATTCCCCCCCAAGCATTATCCCACATTTTTTCATACTAACTTGTTCTAAATTTAGAGATATTATTATTAAATTGGTTTAACTCTTTATTATATAAGATTTAATAGTCCTAAACAATACGTATCTATTATGATTAATTAAAAAATACTGATTTGTAAATCTTCTTTATACGGTCCGGGTGTATAAGTTATTCAGTTAAAAAATTGAAAAGAAAAGTTTAAAAATAGTTTACTATTCGGATTTGTGATTAAAAGACAGCCACAGATTCAAAAGTCATTACATAATAGCCAATTTGAAATCCACAATACTATCATGAATTTTAAAAATCAGGACAATATCCTAAATTTTTCACTTGTTTAAGTTAATATTCATGACACTATCATGATGTTCCTGCATTAAAAGATGCTACGTTTCAATGAATTTTAACTGTTAGTAAAGCCGATACATAAACTTATATTTGTAAAGCCGATCCAAAAAATAGCTATCCCGTACAATATTTATGAATATATTCTAATGGAGTAAAGTACACAAATAACCCTTAAAGTAGATGGTCTTGAATTTGTGTCCTTACTTGCTCCATGAGCTGAACTTTAAGTTTAACAAGTGTTGCCCCTCGCTTACCCCATGTGCAATACTTTTAACTTTTGTCCTTGAAGTTTTGCGCAGGGAACAAGCGAGGGTCAAAAATTAAAGATCACCCCACAAAGTGTCATATTTCTACAATTTCTTATTACGTCGATATGCGGGGGAAGTGCACAGTTAGTCACTAACTAGAGGTGTCTTTACTTTTTAGCCATTGTTTAAAATGTATTTACTTTTTAGCCACTACTTAATAAACTTTTACCCGCCCGGATGAAAATACCCCTGTGCTATGGGTGCTGTGTAAATATTAAGGACATGATGTCCTTAACTTCATGAATGCTGTGTAAATAGTAAGGACAAAGTGTCATGTATTTGCACATTCCATTGTTAAACTTTAGAACATCATGTCCTTAACTTCATACGTGCAACGTAAATGTTAAGAACATGGCGTCCTTAACTTCATGTGTGCAGTGTAAATGTTAAGGACACCATATCCTTAATATTTACACAGCACTTATGAAGAAAGGGTAAAAATGTCTTTTTGTATTAACTTTAATAGAGTAGTGACTATTTTTACTCACCATTAGAAATATTCGATAAAAATTAAATACCATGTTAAAAAGTAGCTATCCCACGCCATTTGTACTCGAGGGGAAAGTGCACGGTTAGCCACTAATAATACATGTATTTACTTTTAAGCCACTGTTTAAAATGTCTTTAGTCTTTAGCCACTGCTTTAATAAACTTTAACTGCCCGGACAAAATACTCTTCTGCTCATGTCCTTAACTTTTGAACTTAACTTCAGGACATCAGGACTACATGTCCTTAACTTTTGAACTTGTAACCCTAAGTTCAGGACTTCAGGACTACATGTTCTTAACTTTTGAATTTGGAACTCTAAGTTTAGGACTTCAGGATTACATGTCCTTAACTTTTGAACTTAACTTCAAGACTTCAGGACTACATGTCCTTAACTTTTGAACTTAACTTTAGGACTACATGTCCTTAACTTTTGAACTTGTAACTGTAAGTTCAGGACCTATTGTCCTTAACTTTTGAGCTTGTTAGTCTAAGTTCAAGACTTCAGGACCTATTGTCCTTAACTTTTGAACTTGTAACTATAAGTTCAGGACCTATTGTCCTTAACTTTTGGGCTTCTTAGCCTAAGTTTAGGACCTATTGTCCTTAACTTTTGAGCTTGTTAGTCTAAGTTCAGGACTTCAGTACCTATTGTCCTTAACTTTTGAACTTGTAACTGTAAGTTCAGGACCTATTGTCCTTAACTTTTGAACTTTTGAACTTGTAACTCTAAGTTCAGGACTTCAGGACTACATGTCCTTAACTTTTGAACTTGAAACTCTAAGTTCAGGACTTCGTGACGTCCTTAACTTTTGAATTTGATTTGTGTTGTTGGTGCTCCAAGCAAAGCCCTACCAGCACCAGCAGCCATTTGTCGTCTACCCAAACCAAAAATTTAAAAATCACCCAAAAATTGAGACAGAGATCAAACAAGCCTTAGGATAAACCAAAAGTTAGGCTGAAACCAACTTACCCTACGAGACGGAAAGCCATTAGCGACACAACAATCTTTCTTTGAAACAAAACGAACAAACTCTAAACAGTCATTGTCGGGGCTCCAGTTCTATAGAAGAAAGGGTAAAAAGATTTTTTCATATTAATTTTAATAGAGTATTGATTATTTTTGCTCAACATTAAAATTACTGAATAAAAAATAAATAACACCTTAAATAATGGATATCCCACATCATTTTCACAGAATAGTACTGTACAAAAACATCTTAAATAAGCAAAGACTAAGAAATACCAGACAAAACGACAAAATGTCATAAAATTTTCCAATCTTTAAATAATTCTACAATTATTGATTGGCACTTGGCAGCTCCATTTTACTGACCATTATATTCTGCTCAACTTTACTTTCTTAGTCAACTCAAAGGAATTTGTTGCTGCAGCCATGGCAGATGTAGCAGTGAAATTCTTAGTAGAAAACTTGATGCAATTGTTAATCGACAACGCTGACTTGATTATTGGTATAAAAGGTGAAGTTGAAAATTTACTACAAGATCTGAATGACTTCAATGCTTTTCTCAGACAAGCAGCTAAATCCAGGAGAGACAATGAAGTCTTGAAATCACTAGTAAAGAAGATAAGGAAAGTCGTAAATGATGCTGAAGATTCAATTGATAAGTTTGTTATTGAAGCTAAAAGACATGACGATAAGAACAAATTTGCTCAGTGGTTTCATCTTACTCATGTTGCTAGAGCTAAAGGGGTTGCTGATGAGATTAAAACTATAAGGGTAAGAGTGAAGGAAATTCGCCAAAATGATGCTTATGGACTTCAAGCTATTACTTCTGATGATAATTCCAACCAAGGTGCTCAGGAAAGGAAGGTATGAGAGTGGATTTTGTGGTCTTTATTTTGAATAATATCAACACTCATTTGATTTATTAGGTTCGAAATCAATCATTTGTACTTATTTAGAAGGGGAGTCTTGGCGTAACTCGTAAACTTGCTGAAGTGGAAACAACCTTTTATAGAAATGCAGGGTAAGACTGCGTACAACAGACCCTTGTGGTTCGGTCCTTCCCCAGACTCCGCGCATAGCCGGAGTTTAGTACATCGGGCTGCCGTTTTATTTAGTAAACTTCTTAATACATACAGAGTCTGAGCCAAAGTTATTGAGCCGGATGAACTTATAAGTTGAACTCTACATACGACCTTGCTAGTTGTTTCCGTAGAAAATATAAAGAACGTCTAGTCTAGTGCTTTTCATTTTTATTTTGTAATAATGTTGTGTGGATATGAGCTTGAATAGACCGACATAGATAGTGAGGATTCATATAGCGGATTTAAACTTGCTTAGGGTTGTGGTGTTGTTGTTGTTGTTTTTCTACGTTTTATTGTTAATTGCTAAAAAGTAAAGCAGTGTGTTGAAACGGCAAAAAATTTCGGACAATTTATGTCAAGATTTTTTAAAATAAAAGATCATCAAGAAGTGGTTGAATTTTATTAATGACAAGCAGATAAGCATTGGAAAAGAGGGGATACCGTCAAATATCTATGATTTGAATTTCTGTGATTAAAATGTGCTCCATGTTTACAATTCAAAAAGATTATGTTATACTGGCTTCTTTGTTCTTCGTTTGAGTTTTTCCTAAAAACGACTGGCAGTCAACGTTGAGTTCATTGTGAATGTCATAGACTTCTTGTTGCATCATCTGCTATTGAATATTTTGATTGAAGAGGCTATACAGTATGGAAATTGTATAATGATTCTTCGAATGTTACCTCGGTTATGTATGAAATGGTATATATGTATATTAAGCGCAATATATAAATAAGCATTGAGATATGTTAAGAACTTAAAGTTTTACCACAGGTTTGGTGTTCACAATATTGTTTATGTTACTTCATAGTTTAAACCAATTAGGACTGGACTAAGTAATTCGGAAAGGATAGAACAGTTTCGTGTTTTTGTATGTTCTGCACTTGAAATTAGAGTAATTAGATGTATGAATATATGAAAGAAAAGGTAACACTGTGAAAGCTAAAGTATTCCCAACTAAAAGGAAGATTTTGATAGATTTTGAAATGTGGCTGCCATCAAATTTGTTGCTTTTTAATATAAAGATGGTTGTTTTCTGCAAGAATCTACATGTAACCAAAATCGCGTTAAGAATTTTGTTGTATTGAGAGCCGACTTTCTACTAGGACTTAAAATAAACTGATGTGCTCTGTGTATTGTGTAAATAGAGTCACATTCATCTATCTGACAAAGAAAGTAGGGAAGAAAGCATAACACTCCAAGGATGGCTATATACGTGTTAAATCGCCACATGTAAAATCTACTTACATTAGCACGTTTGTTTCAATATCGTGTTTTTTCATCTTTTATTGAAAGTCAATTCTAATATCATTCTGTGACCTTTTTTCTTCTTTAAAATCTCAAAACAGGTCCCTGTAGTAGAGGAAGACGACGTGGTTGGTTTTGATGAGGAAGCGAAAACTGTAATTGATCGTCTCATTGGAGGATCGGATTATGTTGTGCCAGTCGTTGGTATGCCTGGTCTTGGAAAAACAACTTTGGCATATAAGATTTACAAGGATCCTAAGGTTGAGTATGAGTTTTTCAACCGCATATGGGTATATGTCTCTCAATCGTTCAACAGAAGGGAAATATTTCTCAACATCATCAGCAAATTCACTCGAAACACCAAACAATATCATGATACACCAGAGGAGGAATTGGCAAATGAAATAAAGGAGCTTCTTGGGAAGGGTGGGAAATATCTTATTGTTTTAGATGATGTGTGGACAAGAGAAGCTTGGGATCGGATCAAAATTGCTTTCCCCAATAATGATAAACGGAATAGAGTCTTGATGACTACTAGACAAAGCAATGTGGCTAAGTGCTGCAATGATAAACCTCATGATCTAAAGTTTTTGACTGAAAATGAAAGTTGGGAGCTACTTGAGAAGAGAGTTTTTCACAAGGAAAAATGTCCATCTGAGTTAGAATTACCTGGAAAAAGTATAGCCAAAAAATGTAGGGGCTTACCACTTGCAATAGTTGTTATTGCCGGAGCTTTGATAGGCAAAGGAAAGACGACAAGGGAGTGGGAGCTGGTGGCTGACAGTGTGGGTGAGCACCTCATAAATAGAGATCCAGAGAACTGCAAGAAATTGGTGCAGATGAGTTATGATCGTTTGCCTTATGATTTAAAGGCGTGCTTCTTATATTGTGGGGCTTTTCCTGGCGGTTCTGAAATTTCAGCTCGGAAGTTGATTTGTTTATGGATCGCGGAAGGATTCATACAATACCAAGGACCATTGACTCTAGAGGATATAGCAGAGGACCACTTGAATGATCTTGTCAATAGGAACTTAGTGATGGTAATGCAAAGGAGTTCTAGTGGTCAAATCAAAACATGTCGTGTTCATGACATGTTGCATGAGTTCTGCAGACATGAGGCTATGATGGAGGAAAATCTTTTCCAAGAAATCAAACGAGGGCAAGAACATTCTTTTCCAGAGAAACAAGAGTTAGCCACTTATCGTCGCTTGTGCATTCATTCGTCTGTTTCTGAATTCTTGTCAACAAAACCCTTTGGTGAGCATGTTAGGTCGTTCTTATGCTTTGCCTCGAAAAAATTTGAGATGCCTTTAGGTGAAATACCAGCCATCCCCAGAGCCTTTCCCTTGCTTAGGGTACTCGATGCTGAATCAATCAAGTTCAGTCGTTTTTCTAGAGAGTTCTTCAAATTATTCCATTTGAGGTACATTGCATTCTCAACTGACTCGATTATGACCATTCCTACAAACATTGGGAATCTCTGGAATGTACAAACACTTATAATTGAGACACAACAGGGTACTCTTGACATTAAAGCAGACATTTGGAATATGACAAGATTAAGGCATGTGTGCACAAACGCTTCCGCTACATTGCCTTCCCCTAAGCGCCCCAAGAGCAGCAAGGACAACTTGGTGAATCGTTGCCTACAAACACTTTCTACTATAGCACCTGAATGTTGCACGGCAGAAGTTTTTACTAGAATTCCTAATCTCAAGAAATTAGGTGTTCGTGGAAAAATAGATGCACTTCTAGAGACCAGTAAGGATGGGTCCAGTTCTGGTTTGTTCAGTAACATAGGAAAGTTAGATTGCCTCGAAAAGCTGAAGTTGGTAAATGATACTCGTCAAAGTAGAAAACAGCTACACCTTCCTCCAGCATATATTTTTCCTCAGAAGCTAAAAAAGCTCACTCTGATAGATACATGGTTCAAATGGGAAGATATGTCTATATTAGGTCTATTAGAGTACCTTGAAGTGCTGAAGTTGAAAGAAAATGCGTTTAGGGGACAGTCGTGGGAACCAGAGGATGGCGGTTTTCCTCGTCTGCAGGTCCTATGGATTGAAAGGACAGATCTATCTTCTTGGAAGGCCTCATCCGGGAACTTTCCACGACTAAAACGCCTTGTTCTTATAGCATGTGATAATCTTAAGGAACTACCAGCTGAACTGGCTGATGTGGAAAACCTCCAGTTAATTGAACTCCAGAGTACCAGTGTGTTTGCTGCTAAATCTGCACGAGCAATACTAAAGAAGAAACAAGAAAAAGAAGGCAGCGGATTCAAGCTTTCTGTATTTCCTCCAGATCTCGGATTGTAACTTTAAAGACTGCTTCATTGACACTAGACAGGTTAGCTTCAAATCTGCCTTTGTCTTCAAATGATTTTATTCCATTGTTAAATTTCCTATAATTACCAGAGCGATGAGTTGGCGTGGAATTAATGTGTTAGCTTGTGCTTGATATCTGTAAGGTTTAATTAGGATTTAAGCACAAGGTAGTAATGGAAATGTTTCCACACAAAACTACAAAGAGCTTATAAACATGTTTTAGATATCAGTTCTAAACTGCATTCTATTTATTAGTTCAACTATTCAGCACGTAATATGTTTCTCTCTGCAGAAACTATAATCTAAATGCTCAATTACATTCATCTTGGTGCTATATTAGGCTCCAAACACCTGTATCAACTTTCCAACTCACAGCATGACAGTATTCTTAATTGTTTTTAGCTTTTGATGTGATAATTTCAAATTAAAATACACACCAAAAGATTTTCGTCAACAGATTGAAAAATCAGCTAAGATTCTATTATCTTTCAAATTCCTACTTCTATATCCTTTAGCGAGCAAATTTATGTATTCATTATATCGTAATGGCAGCAGAAATAGCACTTTGGATGGCTTAACACTATTTTGGCTGATGGTTGACCTAATAATGCTTAAGTGAGCGTTGAGTGTATGTTCTTTCAATGAGTTGAAAGCAAGGGCGTTTAGGTATATTTGTTTTAATCTTCTGATAAATTCGTCGTAGGATGTTGTGTGTCTACGATTTCTTAATCAGCTTAAGCATTGAGATAAGTCCAATTTGTGCTAGTGCTGCCTAAAGCTGAATTTTAAACAGACTTTATCAGGACAAACATTATAGAGTATCATTTTATTTTCTTTAATAGCTTCTATAGTTTCCATTCTCCTGGTAGTATATGCATAGACAATGTCCTCTTAAGATACTGACAGCTGATCATGCATTGATTTGCACAGTGGCTTTTGTCAATTCTTATACTATGGAGGGACTCGGCGATGAATCAACCCTTCTGCTCGCTACTACATTTGCCTCACTGGCTTTAACAAGAGAAGTCTCCTGCATTTTGTTTCTGGAGCATTCTTATCTTATTTGATGTATCTGGATATCTTCACACTAATGCAGAACCTGGAGAATGTCATTTTTATTTGTACTGTTGCCATGTTGATTGTGACTTCATTCTTGTATTTACTTGTTTTGTGCTCTTTCTTTGTTTTTCTTTGAATCTTCTTGTTTTTTCTTTTTTCTTTCTGTGGACTGAAGGGGAGCCTTGGTATAACTGGTAAAGTTGCTGCCATGTGACCAGGAGGTCACAGGTTCGAGCCGTGGAAATAGCCTCTTGCAGAAATATAGGGTAAGGTTGCGTACGATAGACCCTTGTGGTCCGGCCCTTCCCAGGACCCCGCGCATAGCGGGAGCTTAGTGCACCGGGCTACCTTTTTTTCTTTCTTTCTGTGGACTGAGTTCCCAGTGTACATGGATGAATTGTTGCAGAGTAGTAGAATGTTATTGTTATTTTTATTTTTGTTGCTTATTGTTTAGAGACTTTCTATGATACTTAGCAAGTTGAATGATTTTTTTTTTTTGTTATGAGAAATAGTTTAATGACTTTGATACATTAAAGTAAAAGTTGAATGACCATCCAAACTTGGAGCACTCCCAACTTTCATCGTCAATCAAAAATCTCCGTGAAACGAGGATTACTATTGTTTTTTTATAGACAACGATCCATCTCTTATATCGAAAATGTTATTACGACCGGAGGCGGATGTAGTGTATTATTTACGGGTTCAACTGAACCAATAACTTTCGATGCGGAGTAAAAATTTGTAAATAAAAATTCATTAAAATTGCAAAAATAGTAGATTTGAACCCATAACTTTAAAAATATAATGGTTTCAATGCTAAAAATTGTAAAATTAAACTCATAGAATTTAAATCCTAGATCCGTCTCTGATTATAACGCATATCGAAAATTTACCCACCTTGTCCTATTCTTGTGTCTCTCCGTGTGTGGGCTATTCCTACCTTCAAACCAACCCTCCACCCAGCATAACCCCACCTGACTCAATTACTCAAATGGTCACTCAACTATCTCAAATTATCTCATAAAGTCACTTTTCTTTCGTTTGTAACAACAAAGTCAGTGAACTATGCCTATTGCACTCATAAGGTCACTCAACTAGATTTTCCAAATTCTGGATTGTCAAATACCTATTTTACCCTCTAAATTATAAACATTTGTCTTCTTTTAATTTTTTTAAAACTTTTTAGTATTAGCAACAAAAAATCAAAAATTTATTTACATAATAATGAATGAAAGAAAATAAAGGTTGTAAAATATATATACCATGCATGTAATATAAAAATAATTATTTAAAAAATGTATTTTTATAATATACGTTATATATTCTTGAAATTATGCTCAATTATATTATTATGTTTCTACCAACTTTTCGACAACACAAAGTTATGTCACCGTAAATGAGGGGTACTATCTGTGTAGGTAAAATATTGTCACGACCCGGATCTCCCACCCTCGGGAGTTGTGATGGCGCCTACTAACAGGAGCTAGGCAAGCCAACTTAATTTACTTCTTTTAGCAATTATCGACCATTTACTAAAAACAAACATAATATGATAAAGCGGAAGTCTCAATATATATAATTAACTGAAAGAAAATGCGGAAGTTTAACAAAATCATCTACCCAAGACTGGTGTCACAATACTCACGAACGTCTAGAGAATACTAAATACAAAGTTTGAACGGAACATAAAACTGTCTGCTTCGGTACACGATGATAACAAACTGAATAAAATAGAAAGGGACTCCGGGCCTGCGGACGCCAGCAAGGCTACCTCTAATGTCCCTGGACTGAAGTCAGCTCCCAATCAACTACTGCTGTTGTCCAAAAGCTACTGCGGCTCCGAAATCTGTGCAAAAAGATGCACAGAGTGTAGCATCAGCACAACCGACCCCATGTGCTGGTAAGTGCCTGGCCTAACCCCGGCGAAGTAGTGACGAGGCTAGACAGGACTACCAAACCAACCTGTGCAGTTCAATATATATATATATATATATATTTATACTAATATAATATAGTGTAAGTATATTTTTATTAATGATATATATGATATATATATATATTATGCGGTATATATAATAGATACAGTGTACTGTGTGCATGCGAAGGAATGCGCAGAATGTTGACAGGAGATTCCATCAAGTCAAGAGGGAGGAGGAGCTATGGCTATAGGGGATGGTTCCCAAGCCCAATCATCGCGGATAACAAAAATCAACAAATAGAAGGTGAAAATGTACAACTGCAATATCAACGAGAGTAGAAATTCAACAATTTGCACGGCACCATCCTTCGTGTTTTACCCTCGTTCTCACCAAAACAATCAAATAAAGTGCACGACATCAACCTTCGTGCTTTTCCTCACATAAACACTTATATCAAGATACAGAATGACCCTTCGTGCATTAGTAATCAAATCAGGGCACGGAATGTTCCTTCGTGCATTAATAATCGAAACATGGCACGGAATGTTCCTTCGTGCATTAATAATCAAAACATGGCACGGAATGTTCCTTCGTGCATTAATAATCAACACATGGCACGGAATGTTCCTTCGTGCATTAACATATTCTCAACACGAATCGTGCACGGCATCAACCTTCGTGCTTTATCACTCTTCCTCACCCAAGCAACAATCACAACCAATGGGGCGAGGGGATAGACAAACAGTAATAGAAGTCCCGGCAAGGGAAACACAATTAAACAGTTAAATCCCGGCAAGGGAACAACAACAATAACTTCCACATCCCGGCAAGGGAGATAATCAATATACGAATACAGCCCGGCAAGGGAATAATCACATTTCTTTCTCTTTCTTTCATTCCTTACTCAATAATTACTATATCATTCGAGCCAATGCTCCAAAGAGTTCACAAATCATAATTCTTTCTCATACTCTTCACACTATATAGAAATCATCAATTACACAAGGAAGAGTCACAACAAAATTAGAATAAGCACAAATAAGGACTCACGATCATGCTAGACACCAGCACATAGATACTCGTCACCATGCCTATATACCGTACTCGACAATTAGCAATTAGCAAATAACACTCTAATCCTATTCCCTCAAGCCAAAGTTAGATCAAACACTTAACTCAACTTCCACGGCTAAATCAATCCACAACAACCACTTTCTCTCTCGAATTCGGCTCCAACTCAATCAAATCTATGAAATAACGACTTTATAATATCAATAATAGCTAAACAAATCAATCCCAATGCCTAAATATAGATTTCTAAGCTTTCTTCCCAAAATTCCAAAATCGACCCCGGGCCCGCTTGGTCGAAACATGAGGTTCGGACCAAATTCATATCACTCATTCCCCCACGAGCCTGGATATACAATTCGTTTTCAAATTCGACCACAAAACGAGGTCTAAATCAAAGAAACTTGAAAAGCCCTAACTCTACCCATTTTCCCCAATTTTCACCCTAATCTATGTGATTTAATCTTAGAAATTCACTAATTGATGAAGGAAAATGAAGGAAATAAGTGGGGATTTACTTACCCAAGTGGTCTTGAAGAATGGGGGCTTCAATGGACTCCTAGAGCTTGGGGAAGAAGAGAGTTCGTGAGAAATTTGGAGATAAACCCGTAGCTACTGTTTTGAACATTTAAAAAAAATCAATGGGCGGATTTTACCCTAAGCGTTCGTCATATGAGTGCCGCGTTCGTGAAGAGGAAACCTGGCAAGCATCGCGTTCGCGGGAGCAGGATTGCGAACGCGAAGGGGAAAGTTCCGGGGTCCAAGGGATTGGCCTATGCGAACGCGAGGGAGTGATACGCGAACGCATTGAAGGAAATACTGGAACTACGCGAACGCGGGAAGCGAACCGCGAACGCGAAGAAGGGAGCCTGGGAAGCATTGCGAACGCGAGCTTAAGGCTGCGAACGCGAAGGGAAAAATGTCTGTGCAACAACAGCAGATTTTTCTGCAATTTTCCTAACTCCAAAACCATCCCGAACACCTCCGGAAACACTCCCGAGCCCTCGGGGCTCCTAACCAAACACACACACTAACTCAACCACATCCTACGAACTTAACCGTGCGATCAAATCGCCAAAATAACATAAAAAACGAGGAATCAAACCTCAAAATCATCACTTTTTCATCAAACTTCATAAACTTTCATTTTTAGATATTTAGGTCCGAAACACGTTAAATGACGTCCGATTTCGACCAAATTTCACAGGAAGCGCTTAAACCGCATATAAGACCTGTACCGGGCGCCGGAACCAAAATACGGGCCCGATACCAACACTTTCTAATCCATTTTCATTTCAAATTTCCATATTAATTTCAGAAAAACAATTTCTCTTAAAAATTCATTTCTCGGGCTCGGGACCTCGGATTTCGATTCCGGGCATACGCCTGAGTCCCATATTTTTCTACGGGCCCTCCCGGACCGTCCAATCACGGGTCCAGGTCAGTTTACCTAAAATGTTGACCAAAGTCAACTTTAATCATATTAATATCAAAATTCATCATTTTTCACACAGAGGTTATATTTAAGCTTTCCGGCTGCGCGCTCGGACTGCGCACGCAAATCGAGGTGACTAAAAGTGAGGTTTTCAAGGCCTCGGAAGCGTGAAAATAGAGGGAAAACAGGTGATGACCCTTTGGGTCGTCACATTCTCCACCTCTAAAACAATCGTTCGTCCTCGAACGGACAAAAGAAAAAAGTACCTGAGTCGGGAAATAGATGAGGATAACGACTCTGCATATCAGACTCGGATTCCCAGGTCGATGCCTCAGGAGGCTGACCTCTCCACTGAACACGCACTGAAGGAAAACTCTTCGACCTCAATTGTCGAACCTGCCGGTCTAGAATAGCTACCGTCTCCTCCTCATAAGACAGATCCTTGTCCAACTGGACAGTGCTGAAACAAAAACAACACATGGGCTGGATCGCCGTGATACCTCCAAAGCATGGACACATAAAACACTTGATGCACGGCTGACAAGCTAGGCGGCAAGGCAAGTCTATAAGCCACCTCTCCCACACGATCGAGAATCTCAAATGGACCAATGAACCTAGGGCTAAGCTTGCCATTCTTCCCAAATCTCATCACGCCCTTCATAGGCGACACTAGGAGCAATACTCGCCCACCAACCATGAAAGCCACGTC